CCCTGGGGACCTGTGAGTAACAAGCGAGGTTGGACACTGGCTTCCAGTTGATGAGGCAAGCCATTGACCAGCTGAGAGACATTTCTGGGCAGGCTAACAGCCCCCTGGCCAAGGCTCCGGTCTTCTGTTACCACTCCAATGTGCCCTTGCCCTTCCATCCTCCAAGCCCTTCTTCCAAAGCCTGGAAGTAGAGTGAGTCCCAAAGGAGCTGAAGGTGCAGGTGGCCACCAGGGCAAGTGTGTGAAGGGAGGTGTGAGCCCTCTGTTACATTTTGGCACAATGGGGATGGCATGAGCATGGATGTGTCAAATAAGTAGGGGAGGGACATGGGCACACAGTGATCATCCTCCCTGATGTGGTGAGCATCAGTGAGACATCCTGGAGCCTCTGCAGAGGTCTAGAAGGGATCAGGAAAAGCATCTTTTCCCCCACCGGAGCAGTGCTGTGGTCAGAAGCATTCAGTGTTGGCGGAGTCTTTCTGTGTGTGTCGCTGTGTTCTGAAGGGACGTGGTCCTGGAGCAGATGTGCAGCAAATCCTCCAGAAACCTCACTCCGCTGCTGTGCCTGGAGAGGTCTTGGGCAGTGGGGGGCCCAGATGAAGGGGGGGGACAAGCGTTTTGGTAGGGCCAGCTGGGACAGGACAAGGGGGGTGGTTTTAAATAGAAAGAGGATAGGTTCAGACTGGATCTAAGGAAGAAATTCTTTCCAATGAGGGTGGTGAAACCCTGGCAGGGGTTGCCCAGCGAGGGGGTGGAGGCCCCATCCCTGGGAACATTCAAGGCCAGGTTGGATGGGGCTGTGAGCAACCTGATCTGGTTAAAGGTGTTCCTGCTCCCTGCAGGGGGGTTGGGCTGGGTGACCTCTGGGGGTCCCTTCCAACGCAAAACATCCTTTTGTCCCTGCGACCAAGCCTGAGGCCGGGCAGACTGAGGGAGTGGTGCCCCGCCAGCTCTGTTCTCAGTCCCTCCTTCCCCCACAGGCCACGCTTTGGCCCTGCTGCTCTGGTCGTGCTTCAGGTGGAGTAGGAGGCACCTCTTGTACTGTGGTCCCCCGACCGTTCTTGCAAAGACTCGGGGACCCTGCTTGCTGTTGAGCAGGGTTGGGTGTCCCGTGGAAATCCTGCCAAGGATTTGGTCAGGCCTGGCGTGCTGGCAGTCTGGGTGGCGAGAGCAATAGTTGTGGCACAGCCATGGTCAGGAGGGATGACATTCATTGCTTGGCCAGCACGTGCCTTGGTCTCTGGGGTGCCTGCAGCTTTGCCAGCGGTGTGCATCAAGGAGTGTGGGGAGGGGAAGAGCCTTCATTCTTTCAAGCACTGGCAGTTGGCTGCTCAAGGCATGTGGGGATGAAGGCAATAAAGAAGATGGTAAAAGAGGCAGGCAAAGTTCTGCCGAGAGCAAAGCTCCGTCCCAAGAGAGTGTCTAAAACCCAAGAGCTGAGGTGCCCAGCCTAGAGAGGCAATGGCTAAAACAGCGCGCGCGAGCACAGGGTGCGGGGCAGCGAGTGATGGTGCCGAGCTTTGCATGTGGATGATGAGGCCTCGGCCTCAGGGTGCTGAGGAGACCTGCACCATTGTCCAGGAAACGCTTCAAAGCAAGGCCCCGGAGGGCAAGGGGCTGGCATCACCAGGCAGGGTGGGACTCACCACATCACCGGCTGCATCATCTCTCTGTGCTGACGTGGCATTTCCCCGGGAAACATTTTGGCCTCTAATGCTGTCACTTGAAAGGAGCCTGTGTGGCTCAACGGGCATGTCATGGACAGGGAAATGAAAAGGCAGTGTTGCAGGGAACATAAGCCGTGTCCCCATTTCTTTAATTGTGATGTTTTGCATGCAAGATGAGCTTGTTGGCACCACATTGCATGCGCCAAGGGTGCCTGTGGGCCTGGGGCGGTCGGGAGCAGTATAAAAGGCAGTCCCACAGCAGGCTCCCTCATCCACTTCTCTTGCCTTCTCCTCCTTGGTGAACAAGGTGAGCTGAAAACACCTTTGCCTCACTCTTCTCTCTCTCTTCTTCTCCTCTTTGTCTTTCAGGCTTGACCAAATCTTTGCCTCGCTGTAGCTTTTGCTGAGGGAATTGCTCCTTGATCCTGGTCCCAGCTTCTCTGCTCTCCTGGTCCTCATCGGGGGGGAGGTGGGAGAAGGACTTTGGTTTCTCTGCAGGGCCGCATTCGGTACCTGGGCTCTTTAGAGGTCGGAGAAGGACTTTGGTTTCTCTCCAGGGCTCCATTCAGTCCCTGCGCTCTTTAGTCCCACTTCCTCCCTAGGCAGGCTCTCCCTGCTCCCCAGCCTGTGCCTCACACGCTGCCCGTGCTTTCCTTGCCCTCCCTCCCAGGTGCACCTCCATCCCACAGCCATGTCCTGCTACGATCTGTGCCGTCCCTGTGGCCCAACCCCGCTTGCCAACAGCTGCAACGAGCCCTGCGTCAGGCAGTGCCAGGACTCCCGCGTGGTGATCCAGCCCTCGCCCGTGGTGGTGACCCTGCCCGGACCCATCCTCAGCTCCTTCCCCCAGAACACCGCTGTGGGATCCACCACCTCCGCTGCTGTGGGCAGCATCCTGAGCGAGGAGGGAGTGCCCATCTCCTCCGGGGGCTTCAACCTCTCTGGCCTTGGTGGCCGCTCCTACGGCAGAAGGTGCCTGCCCTGCTAAAGCCGGTCTTGATGTCCCATGAGTGCATTGACCAGGAAGCCCAAAGCCAGGTGCCGGACTGAGGATGGAGCTTCTGGCCAGGTTTCCAGAGGGGCCAAGAACCCTCGTGGCCTCCGACAAAGCCAGGTGTCCTCCTGTCTGTCTGGAAACTTGGCCACCTGATGTCGTCTTCTACTCCTGCATTCTTCTGTGCATCGTGAGCCCCTGTTGCCTGCTGCTGTCCTGTGCCATGGGTTCATCCTGAAGCAAGTTGAGCGGGGCCCTGCTCATCCCCCTCTCCGCCCGTGTGTGGGAGGAAGACGCGTGTGCCATGGCTGCGAAGGGGTGTCTGTCTGTCAGCTGCCCTTGGAGCAGCGTGGGCCGTGTCCCTTCCAGCACGCACTGCTTGCTTTTGCTCTTTAGACTCATTAAAGTTTTTGCTGCATTGTAGCTTGAGTCTCCTTGTGTTCCTCCTCTCCTGGGATGCCTGGCCAAGCTGTCCGGGGGGAAGTGGGATGCTATACTGGGTAAAGGCATGGATGAAGGGATGTGGTGGACTCATATCTTTCTGGGGGGATTCACAGGAGGGGAGTCGCACAGAAACGGTTGCCTGGACCACAGTGTTCTTTACATGGGATGGAGCCTTCCCAAAGTCACCCACATCACTTTGTCCTAAGCACCACACTTGTTGTGTCTCCCAGCACACCCCTGCCATGCTTTCCATGGCTCCACGATGTGTTTGGGGTGTGACAGATGCCCAAGGAGGTGTGTGCCTTCACTTCTGGCCCCACACCATCTCTCTCTGCCCCTCAGGCCCCTTTCAGAAGTACTCAACAATCTTGCCATAGCACCACAGCTGCTCTATGGGAGGGTACATGACCTGTGGGCCGTGACACAGAAGTGAGGGCATTTAGCAAAGTCCCTCTCGGTTCCTTGCACACCAGAGGAAGGAAGGAAAGAAAGAAACCCTCCAGGACGCAGCCACTGCGTCTTCCTGCCCTTCTGCCCTGAACTGCAAGACCAGCAACATCAGGGAGGGAAGTACTCTTGCTCATGCATAGAGTTGGTGTGCAGTTGGTGATGTAGGAGAGGACAAGCTCTCTGTCCTTCCCTCCCACATCCTCTTGTCCACCACAGGTGATGTTTTGCCCCATGCACCCCACTCCTTCTTCACATACCATGAGGGTCACCTCTTGTGCTGTCCCATACGCTGTGGGAACCCCTACAGTGGCTTTCCCCTTAGCTGGAGCCCTGTCTTCCCTGAGAGAGAGCTGCTGTCATCAAAATCCCTGTGCCCTGCTGGGCAGGAAGGGCCCCGGGAAATGCACTCTCCATCAACATTCCTGAGGCCTGCTGCGCTGACAGCAGAAGTGTGGTGGGGTGAGAGGATGGTCCCAGGGAGGGAAGTCCGCATCTGCAGCACGTGACCAGAGCGAGCAGCGTGCGGGAGGGCACTGGGGCCTTTGGGCAAACCCTTGCCAGAGGCACTGACTGTGGGAGTATCAGGGTCTGGTAGGGGACTCTACTTGTGGATTGTCTGGGGCAGGGAGGTGTTTGAAAGGACCCTCAGAAGAAAAGACAGACTTTGTACTTGTAAGATGAATGCAAGCTTGCTTTCTTGAGGGAAGAAGTCCTTCCCACATTTGCTGTGATAGGTGGAGTTGGTGACCTGTGTTCCAGGTGCACAGGGATTGCCTCTTCCTGCAGATCTTGGCCTGGGGGTAGTAAGAAGAGGCCCATTGGCCCTGATGAGCCTCACCTGGGGTCTCTCACACCTCCCTCTTCCCTTCCACCCAGGGCTCTATTAAAGCTCTGTCCTGAGCCATTAGCCCTTGTTCCAGCTTGATGGCAGCAGTGTAAGCTTCTTGTTCTTTTGCAGATTTGCCTATGCCTGACCATGACCCCCCCTTGAACCGGACACTTGTTTACCCTCTGCTTTCCCAGCCTGCCCTTGGGTCTGTCTGGCCCTTATGGGTCTGGTCAGGAATCAGGGGTCTCTGTTGAGCCAGGTGACCATCACTGGATCTGCTTCTGGCGTGTGGGATGACTGCCCAGCGCGATGTCAGTCCTGCTTCATCACCATGAACTTGACTGTTGAGCTGGCCTCTGGGCCATGCCTGTCTCCTGCCTCTGCATTTTCCTTGCTCAGGTACCACGTGCTGTGATCATTCTTCTTTTACTGCTGTGTCATTTTCCCGGAAACATTTTGGCTTCTAATGCTGTCACTTGAAAGGAGCCTGTGTGGCTCAACGGGCATGTCATGGACAGGGAAATGAAAAGGCAGTGTTGCAGGGAACATAAGCCGTGTCCCCATTTCTTTAATTGTGATGTTTTGCATGCAAGATGAGCTTGTTGGCACCACATTGCATGCGCCAAGGGTGCCTGTGGGCCTGGGGCGGTCGGGAGCAGTATAAAAGGCAGTCCCACAGCAGGCTCCCTCATCCACTTCTCTTGCCTTCTCCTCCTTGGTGAACAAGGTGAGCTGCAAACACCTTTGCCTCACTCCTCTCTTTCTCTTCTTCTCCTCTTTGTCTTTCAGGCTTGACCAAATCTTTGTCTTGCTGTAGCTTTGGCTGAGAGCCTTCATTCTTTTGCACCTGCTCTCTTCTCCTTGTTCTAGGAGCACCTTGGTGAAGTGGGAGAAGGTCTTGTCTGTGTTTCCAGGTCCCCCTTGTAGACTATGTTTTCTAATGCTCTTTTCCTTCCTAGGCAGGCTGTCCCTGCTCCCCAGCCTGTGCCTCACACGCTGCCCGTGCTTTCCTTGCCCTCCCTCCCAGGTACACCTCCATCCCACAGCCATGTCCTGCTACGATCTGTGCCGTCCTGGAGGCCCAACCCCGCTTGCCAACAGCTGCAACGAGCCCTGCGTCAGGCAGTGCCAGGACTCCCGCGTGGTGATCCAGCCCTCGCCCGTGGTGGTGACCCTGCCCGGACCCATCCTCAGCTCCTTCCCCCAGAACACCGCTGTGGGATCCACCACCTCCGCTGCTGTGGGCAGCATCCTGAGCGAGGAGGGAGTGCCCATCTCCTCCGGGGGCTTCAACCTCTCTGGCCTTGGTGGCCGCTCCTACAGCAGAAGGTGCCTGCCCTGCTAAAGCCAGGCCAGACGTCCCATGAGTGCATCGACCAGGAAGCCCAAAGCCAGGTGCCGGACTGAGGATGGAGTTGCTGGCCAGTTTTCCAGAGGGGCCAAGCACCCTTGTGGCCTCCTGAAAAGGAGGGAGGGAAGTAAGGTTCTGTCTGGAATCATGGCCAACCTATGTCTTATTCTTAAATTTCTTGCTCTTCATGACTTTCCTTGCATCTGCGATTCTGAATTTCACATTGACATGGTATAGTGCTGTACTTTTATATCATCAGTGGAGGGGTTTTATTCAGGTGTTAAGGAAAAGCAGAGTCTTGTTTGCTGTCTTTCAGTTGGAATGATTTAAATGGCTTCTTTGTTTTATATACTTATGTTCCTTTTGTTTTGCAGAATACCACTTGCCTTTTTGTCATTAAACTGATGTTGCATTGAATTTGAATTTCGTTGTGGTTTTCTTCTCCTTTTTTCATGCCCTTGAGGAGTAATGTGGCATTGTATGGAAAATCTATGCAGAGGACCTTCTCAGTGGAAAATGTGAACTGAATAGTCACCACAGTCAGCCTCATAAAAAAAAAATTTCATTGCTGTTTACACTCTTGCATAGCATTGAACAGCTTTACATAGATTTTTCTCTAGCTAATTTTTTCCCAATATTTTTTTTTCCATATCTGTGTGTAAAAGCACAATTGTGGTACTTCAGGTTGGGAACTTTCTGATCTTGTCATTTATTTGGTGTCTTTGAAACTCTGAGAATTCACAAGTGCCTAATAAGATGTTCAGAAGCAGTATTTGGGTCTCTTTTCTGTTAGATTGGATACTACTAGACTCTGAAGCTTTAACCATGACGCGCTTTGAGTGCTCTTGACTCAAGGCTTCAAAGGTGAAGCGAGTGTTCAAATCTCAGAATAAGATCACCCTTGAAATGGTTCTATCATTAATAAATTTTTATGATGGGCTTTGATGTCTTCTGAAGCCTTAAACAAAATCCTGTAAGTCTTAATTCCTTAGTTAATCCATACAAGAACACTCATAATATAGAGGAGAAAATTATGTGAGTGAAGAACGAGACAAATGGCCACAGGTATTTCCCTTAAGAACTATTTGGGTTTAGTCCTGTTCCCACCAAGGAATTTTTCTCAAAGTTGTTGAAACTCAGCCCATTGTGTGCACCTAAGAGACATCAAAGAATAATAAAGAGTGCCCTCGTCTATAAGTATGTAAGCTTTGAGACATTTCTCCAAGTTTCTAATTGTATCGACTCCTTTGCTCTCCCACGGGTGCTACATGGGGTCTGGCAGGACATGGCACAAGAAAGCAATAAGAATGAGTGTTGTGTAATTTCTGATGACTCCTTACCTCATGCAGGGTTTTTTGCTTTTAGAGCCACTAAAATCTATTTAAAAACTAAAGTATTGTAGTCCTGATATAGAATCATAGAATCATTTAGGTTGGAAAAGCCCTTTCAGATCATCGAGCCCAACTGTTACCCTTAACCCTGCCATCCCACCACTAAACCCTGTCCCTAAGCACCTCATCTGCCTGGCTTTTAAATACCCCCAGGGAAGGGGATTTGACCCCTTCCCTGGGCAGCCCCTTCCAGTGCTTGGTCTCCAGTGATAAGGTCTCCCCTCAGCCTCCTCTTCTCCAGACTAAACAACCCCAGTTCCCTCAGCCTCTCCTCATAAAACTTGTGCTCCAGACCCATCACCAGCTTTGTTGCTCTCCTCTGGACATGCTCCAGCACTACAAATAGTGGAAGAAATATAGAGAGAAGATACCTGGCATTTGGGTTCAGTGCTGGAACCAGTCTAAATGTCCACACAGTGGGGGAAAAGAGGTAGGTTTATTTTTTTCAAATGTTTTACTTTTACGTACTAAGTTTTCTTTACTTAAGAATTACTTGCAAAGTTACCAAATTAGGGGGAAAAAAAATAGTTTAGAGTTAAGATTGGATATGTCCCCTTTTAGGCTGTGGCTTGAGACAGCAAAGTACGAAAGATGATAACTCAAGAGGTACTCGACTGAGTGGAGCCCCTGCTTAAAAGTTGGTTTCCATGAGGGTATTTTCTAAAGAAATAATTGAAGGGGCTGGAATGCATACACAAGCATATGGTGCCCTGTTGACAGAACTGGTATGACTGAAGTAATGAGTTATTCCCTCAGATCTGCGAGGAATCACTGATTGTACTCTGGTGCACATCAAAGCATGGCTTCCGTCTTGGTGGCGGGAAGGCGTCTTTCTATGATGCAAATGGGCGCGTCGCACAAAGAGTACAGAACTGAATTTCAGGAGAACAAAATGGCTGGTTAAGTGGCCTGTGTCCAACAACAGCATGCCCTGAAAGGTGCATTTGTGGTCCTTGTTATGAATGAAAAAGCTCAGAGAACGACTCTCCGCCACCAGCCCCTGAGTCTCTGCTTGATGACTGAAAAGAAGAAAGCAAGCGGTGTCCTGGAACTGGGACAGCATGGCTTCATGGAGCGCTGGTGCAGGATGTTGAAGCCTTTATTAGAGAGGCAGTTCCCAAAGAATGTGAGCATCAGTTTGAAAGCCATGTCCCCTTTCATAGAATCATAGAATCATAGAATGTTTTGGGTTGGAAGGGACCCCTAGAGGTCATCTAGTCCAACCCCCCTGCAGGAGCAGGGACACCGCTAACTAGATCAGGCTGCTCAGAGCCCCATCCAACCTGGCCTTGAATG